TTTTAATGTTCAAAGTCTAAAATGAAGATTTGTTCCTCTGATGGTATCCTAAGAGGTACATTTAATTTCCTCTAGATGGTTTAATACATAGATGTCATGTAGAGTTCTAGGTTTAGTATTAAAAGATTGAATTTCTTTCTATGGACTCAAACCCAGAAAACTACACACCTACCTGCAATCATTATCAATATGAAAAGCCAGATCAATGCTTTACGATGTAAAATGTCAATAGATAGGAGAACCACAAAAGCCTGAAAAATGAAATAAAGTATTAATTTGCCACTTCATTGACAGTGTTTCCAGTAATAAATCAGTAGTTTTCTTTAGCTCCATTAATTAGGGTAGCTTCCTAAACCAGTCCAGCAATGTTCAATTTCTCAAGTAAAACCACTACTCTGCAATCAACATGTAACCTGACTAGTCAGAACAAACACTACAAACCATATTTTTAAATGGTTTAAACACACACACACCCCAAATATCCTGACCTTTTCTGACAAATTAGTCTATCAGTGTATAATAGAAATGAAAATGCCAAAGGAATGAAATTACAGAAATACAGAATGCCCAACAGAGCTCTGAAAGCCCATGATTCTCCAGAACACAACAGGAAAATAGCAATGTAATATAGTTTCTAGCATTTTGTATAAGCATTTTTCAATTCAGTGTTATTTAGAGTACAGCCATCATTCCTGGTATACAAACAACTTTTATAAAGGACCAAAATGGTTTCAGAGAAATATTCTAACCGTGGTTAAAGCATTCAAAATACACTTTTTAGCGAAGTTTGTACCAAGGTGGTAGTAGCTGATTGTCTATCCCCACTAGACTGAAAGTTCCATGAGGGCAGAAACAGGTCTATTTGGCTCCCCATTGTATATTCAGTACTGAACCCAATACCTGATACAGGTCTTCAAACCATATCCGTTGCATGTGTGAATATTGTTAGCTATTTTGAGAGGGACATGAAGCAATAAAAATTTCCCAAAAATAAGTCAAGTTTTCAAAAGTCTAGAATTAGATGCGATTTACCAGAATATTTCACAATACAGAGAGAAATGAGACAGGCTATTGCAAAAAGCAAAACTGTTAATGAAATTTGTAAACATTTAGTGCCAAGGGGTCACTTGATGTGAAAATGATTTCACCAGGGTCACTGAGATTATGCCAATATTTACTGGGGCCATATCAAAGTTCAGATTGCCTTCTTTATAACCACATGGAACATTAAAGAACAGACTATGTCATTTACAATTCATTCTAGATAGGATTTAATTATATGAATCAAAGGGAGTTCCACCAGTATGAAAAATTTAGCAGTACTCCATGGAATAAGGAATCAATTTGTAATAATCACATTGCAAATTAACTTCAATATTTGCTTTTTGGACCATGAGAAAATTATTAACATACTTGCTTAGGCTTAGAAGCTATAGATCGTTGTAAATAAATAAGTGAAAAAAATTCTTTTAATCAGAAACATTTTGAGTATTCTACCTGAAAGATACATAGTACAACAGCTTCCTCTACAGGTTATTTCTTTAAGAGAAATATTTTACCCTTATATTTTAATTCTAAACATTCTCAATGACTCTCTTTTGAACTTCCTTCCTTGCTTCTGTCAAGCCCAAGGCTGAACTTTGAGCAAAAATTATTCCCAAACCACTTTAAGTCATTAGTTGATCGAGTTTCCCCACTTTGCTGTTATTTTGCATTCTAACTAAAGCAGTACCTAACACCTGTGGATTCTAATGCATTTTAGCGCAAACACCAGTTGATTTAATTAAAGCTATTGAACAGAGGATAATCTGTGGCATCTACTTATACTACATTCACATGTACTCCCATTCCCAGAACACACTGAAACTTCTTTTTTGGTGAAGTGAGAAATCTGAATCTGGAAGGCTAGAAACAAAATATTTCTTTAAGTGTTCATCAGAGGTGCACCATTTGAATACAGGCTCTCACTTTTCATGTTACTGAGTGTTTGCAATCAAAGTAACAAAATGACCTCTATTTTTATAGGGAAAGTTTATTAAACAGAGTTGGCTCCTCTGCATTAAAAAGAGAAAAGTTCTTATTGGAGAATTATTTTTTGTGGTTTAAAACACTGTAAATTTTGGGGGGGGGTCCATATAATTTCTTACTATTTCTAAAAGGAATTATTTTGTAAACCTTTGGATGTGCTCTTAGAGATCATGAGGTTACAATCTTGTACTAAATTGAAGAATCTTTAATAATTATGGTTATTTAAATTCAACTTGATTATTTCCAGGGCAAAACAAACTCACCTCTTCACAAAGCAGTTCATTTAGTAGTCATGGCTATAATAAAATTCTCGCACATTGAACTAAAATCTAACACCCAGCTATTTTTCCTAGCTCTACCTTAGGAACAACCTAAAACAACAACTCTATGGACATCCTAATGGCACATTCTTCACTATAGGAGGACAGCTCTCCCCTAAATTCTTTCCCCCATGCCCTAATCACTAGTCTCATTGAATACCATTAATGATTAATGGAAGTTTTTGGTACTATTTGATCTTTTGAAACTGTGACAATATCCGACCTTGTAAACTAGTCAATACATTTCCAGAAGATGTACTAGATGTGAAGGTCCTCAGCTCTAACAGGTTCACTGCAAGTAGCTTTTTATACTCCACTGTTAACTTTATCAATCCTATTGTCTTGGCCTGATTTCCAAGATAACATGAGATTTGAACATGTAGTTTCTTCCACACCCTTTAGGATTTTGATGGAATTTGTAATAAGGGGCTCAAAGTATCTTTGTCCCTCAATTCTGACTCTTCCCACTGCAGTAATATACTTTGAGCAGTCCACCTGAAAGATAGAGGGGCAACAGCTTCCTCTACAGGAGGTTTTTGCCATTAAGTCTAACACATCCTCAAGAGAACCTTCTCAAAAGAAAAACAAAAACAAAAGAAAAATAATTTCTCTCCAGCTTGTATCCAAGCGCCACCACCTGCACTCCAAACCATCAAAAGCCACTTTCAACCCTGGCTTCCTTATGTTCCTGCTTTCAAAGCTGTAACTGTGAGAGGCAAGGCCATGTAGGAGGGTCAAAGTCATGATAGAAGTTGCCATTGTAATACCTGAGATGGGTTGCTCAATATTTAAAATCCAGGGAAAAAAAACCTACTAAACTTTAACACACTTAGAAACTGGGCCATTTATATTCTTCTTGCACTTTCCCCCCCAAAAGCTGTATCATGAAATGTTGGAATGTTTCCTAGACTTACTTGCATAATTGATGCATCAGGAAATAACTGTATGGACTACTTCCCCACATCCACCCTATTGTATTATGTAGTAGGTATGGTGAACAGGTGGGTCTTCATCAGTACAGAACTCCTCTCCTCCTGTGGGAACTACCTTTTCCCAACCATTTGGATGGACCTAAGAGTAGGTTCGATGATTTTTCTGTTCACTTAAAGAGGTCCTCTCTGGTCCTTCAAAAGGACTACCTCCTAACAGTCAAGGGAATGGCTGGTTTGTTGAATAGTCAAACATTTGTAAGTTCTTTTGAAGTTGAAGCTACCCGCCCCCCCGTGTTAGTCCTGTTGCCTACAGCGGCAACAAAGGACCTGTACACTTTTCTTCTCTCCGCCTTCCTCCCAATCTCTAGACGGTTTTTTTTTTAAGATTTTATTTATTTGACAGAGAGAGATCACAAGTAGGCAGACAGGCAGGCAGGCAGAGGGAGAAGGAGGGGGAGAAACAAGCTCCCTGCTGAGCACGGAGCCCGACGCATGCAGGGCTCGATCCCAGGATGCTGGGACCATGACCCGAGCCAAAGGCAGATGCTTAACCGACTGAGCCACCCAGGCGCCCCTCTCTAGATGGTTTTTACCCTTTCCAGTTTTAACATAGGGAAGGGAGAAGCTAGCAGGAGAGGTAAGCAGCAGGAACATTAATTCAACAGACAGTTTTGTGAGATAGTGTTTCCACTGCTTACAGGAGTTATTCCAAGTCGATATTTTTCCTTTATGGGTTCTTTAGGGAGCTCTTTACCATCATTTCTGGGATCTCTTACATCCAGCCAGTACCTTCAGACTTTTCAAGTTGTCACCTTTGCATGGAGATATCCACTGTTGACAGCCCCCTGCCCTCTAGATAGCCTAGCCCCACCCCAAAATTAAGACAAGTCCAGGCGGGCTTGCTCTCCTGCTTGATCTTAATCAGGTCCACAGGTCACAATACAGCTTCCCACTCAAAGCCTTCTCCTTTGTTGCCCCAGGCCACTTCGCCAGCACCTCCCTTCCTCTAGCATTCTCTAGTCTGAATCAGACACCTGTCATCGTACCCCAAACTCCAGGAGCCCCCTCTCAAGGTCTGAGTGTTTTCCTTTAAGCCTTTCCCTACGCTTGAAATGAGAGGAAGTGCTCTCCACCCATTCCTCTAAACCCACCACACAGGCAAGTTATTTTTTGAGAAAGCGGTCAGATTTCTACTTTCCCCCCCTGAGCTGAATTCCTAGCATTTCTGGATAGAATTTGGAGGTGGGTAATGGGGTTACGGTGGCAACACCAGCTCACATACCTCCTTTAAAGTCCTGCATTAGGTGGGGCTAGCTCTCCACTATGGATATATGTAGACATACTCTCCATTTATTTTTTTGTTCTTGTTTCTTTCAACACCTTTGGTGACATGGAGACAAAGAAGGGAAGGATAAAAAGTTCCATCTTAGCGTTATTGTAAAGAAGGGGCCCATGAGAAGGATTACCATGTCAATGGTTCTGACATCATTTGACTTTTCTACTTTCAGCATTAGTGCATTTGTTCTGCTGTCCGTCACAATTTATAGCAGGCCATAAAATTCATCTGTAAGAAAACAGCTAGAAAGACAAGCAAAAATGAAATTGTATATAGAGAAAAATGCTACTTTCACCTTAGATGAATCCTGTAGAAGACACATACATATAATGTAGCAGTCATTAAAAAGGAAAAGATACAGATACTTCTATTTCTGGTTCCTAGGCCGAGATTATGAGAAGGATAAAGTTTGCAAGGAACTTGCCAGTCTGGGAAAAGAGGACTTCACATCCTTGTAAGTATGAGGTATTCGCTCATGCTCTTAGTTACTGGACCTTGAATGAAACCACATCTGAGGGAACTTCAATTCAGCATGCTGAACCACTCTCTGCACATTTTAAAAGGATAGAACCCAAGGTCAGTGTGGGCATGGCCATCAGGCCAGTGGAGGACATCCAAAGATTCCGGTTGAATTATTGTTACTAGACAAGTTGAATTATTGTTACTAGGGTCTAAGAATTTGTTAGCAGTAACTTTATTAATAGAGTTAAGAGAACAAGCACAGTTTTCTAAGGTAAATTAGAATGCAAAGAGTATACAGAAGGACCATGGCAAACAAAGACAACAAGATACAGAATGGGTCCTACTGGGGAGGCTTGAGAGAGGAAAGAACAGGAGGCTGCTCGGATAAAACCCCAAATCCAACTTCCATCTTACAAGAGAAGTTTGCCTAGAACAAAAACTATGTTTTAAAAGTCAACCTCCTGTTCTTTTCACTAATCAAGGTGTGCAATATGCTTGTTAAAGACTCAACGAATTTCATGTTTTAATTTGAGCAAATGTGAAATTTTTTGAAATTTTTTAAAAATTCTATATATATATATATATATATATATATATATATATATATATATATATATTGACTTGCTTTTTTCCCCCCTCAGGTCAATGGTCTTATACAGCAGAAAGTTTCCCAGTGGCACATTTGAACAGATCTGTCACCTTGTGAATGAAGTTGTCTCCTTGACAGAAGCCTGCTGTGCTGAAGGAGCTGACCCCGACTGCTATGACCGCAGGGTAGGTTCACGTGGCTGGCCATGTCCACGGTGGCCCAGACAAAGAAGCCAGGATAGGCTTTTATACCATATCTTGGAGAAATCTTAGACAGCAACTCCACCTACTCCAAGTTTGGGAGACATATAAAGCCTGTTACCCCCAGAGCCCAGACTTACTCTAGTATAATGAATCAGTTTTGCCCATCAGTCTTACAAGGTTCAAATGAGAAAACTGGGACATATATTAATTCATGAACCTCTTGTAATATATTCTGTGTCTCTTAAAAGCCTACTCATGCACATACATTTATCATGTTAAGACTGGTACCAACTGCCCCAGAATAATTTAGTGTTTGCCTCAAATTATTTGGGGGTTCAAAAGTTGCCCTATAACCATATACCAGGTTCTCCCTTCAAGTATATATGCAGAAGTTACAATGCTGAAGTGACAGGGTTCAAAATGTAGACGGGAGCTGAAAAAAGTGAAACCACAGGTGCTTCTAGCAATTTACGAATGCAGTCATCAGGCCTCACACAAAGGACATTTAGATTCATCTTGATAAAGGCCTCTACAAATATCTGCTTGCTCAAGCCTGCAGAAACCATGCTCCAAAGATCTGATTAGAATATATCCTACACAATGATTATTCTTAGCCATTAATTGCTTCATCTGGCCCTTATGTAACTTCTAAGAATTTTAATCCTTTTCTCCCACCACCAACTCTGCAAATATCCATCATTTAAAACCTGACCTTCTGCACCACCTTAAAATAAACTACCAACCATGATCACTAATATATTTTTATTTTGTTTACATTTTATTTCATGTATTTGCTAAGTGTCACTTGACCAGAGATAAGCTCCAGGTTTGTAGAGACAGATCATAACAAAATAGAAATGGCACTGCCCTTTTTTTAAAAAAACACCTTCTTTCTCCTATTTGTTCAAAGCATTTTTAAAAACGTGTTGACTCTTTTCAAACTTTTTTTTTTTTTGAAAAGAGGTAATTAAAAAAAAGAGAAAAGAGAAAAACAGGAGATTTTTCAGGGAAAGAAATGGAAAAGGAATTCACTGAAAAAAAGAGATAAGGACAAAAAAGAGTTCCTAAGAATTCCTAAGTTTTGAGAGTCTGATGGAAAGTAGGTGTGAAGCTTTTGTCATGGACGGTTTGTTACTAATGAGAATTTTTAAACTTAAGACTAAGATGGTCATATTGAATGGAGAACTAAGAGCCGGGAAACTTCCATTTACGAGCTGACTTGTTTCTCTTCTCTCATTCTAGACCTCAGCATTGTCTGCTAGGTCCTGTGAAAAGGACTCTCCATTCCCAGTACACCCAGGAACTGCTGAGTGCTGTACCAGAGAGGGCCTTGAACAGAAACTCTGTATGGCCGCCCTGAGGCACCAGCCACAAGAATTTCCTACCTACGTAGAGCCAACAAATGATGAAATCTGTGAGGCATTCAGGAAAGATCCCAAAGACTTTGCTGAGCAGTAAGCTGCTTTCATCCTAAGTAAAACTTCAGGGCATAAAAATACCAGAAGTGTGTTGAATCTAACCCTCTATACAAACACCTCTTCTATAGCAACCTGGATAATTTCCAATAAGAACTTAACTCCTACCCAAGACTTTTCATCTCCATCAGTGCTAATTATCGTAAATGCCTTTCTCAGACAGAGATGAAGTCAACTTTCTAAAACCTCCCAAACTTAGTTCTATTGTCTAAAGCAGAATCACTTGGATTTCCTCTCTCTGTGACATTTTCAAATATTTGACAGCTATTGGGATCTTCTTTATGCGAGGGATCCTTGCACACTCTATCAGATAGATTTTTTCCCCCATTTTTGTTAGTTTTTGTGGTCTTCCAAGGCTAATATAAAAATATATAACCTGGTTACTCATGAATGTTAAACAATGAGATGGTCAAAGTTACATGTTCACTTATGTGGTATAACATGTCACGTTCACAACTGTTTCTAGGGATGTAGGAATAAAAAAACCTTAAACTTTTCTGAACATTAAACATTTAAAATGTGCACAGCAATATAATTCTGTTTATGATCATGGCAAAATACATATACAAAAGTCAAATGCAATGTCACTCAAATTGGCTTTAGAAGTTTATAGTTAAGGTCATGATTTTATAAAAACTCATTGGCTTTCCCATCCCTGAAAATTTTCAGAGAGCATTTTGCCCAAGATTTCAGAGTATCCAACAGACCCTTAAGGGCTTATGCTCCTAAAAATTAAAGATTTCAGCAAATAAGCAAGCCTACACATAGTAATTATCAAATAGTAAACTGGGATAGATCATGAAAGGTAAATGTATCTCATTTTAATTTGTTCAATCAACATTAATAAGCAATTACCATGGGCCATGCGGCTGTAGACACTAACTAAAAGGAGACAAATAGCCCTTCCTCTTAAGTAATCCACATGAAAATTTAAGAAATAAATGAAAATAGTGATTAAAATTGACTAGTATTGTAACCCATTCTTTAAATCCTTAGTGCTTTTCATATGATAAAACTGAACTAATGTAATGCATCCTTTTTCCATCAAAATGCCTATGAAAAAGTACATTCTGCTTCCCACCAATGTTTTGACCAGTCTTATTTCCCCCCCCACAGATTTATGTATGAATATTCCATTAACTATGGACAAGCCCCTCTGTCGCTCTTAGTCAGTTATACCAAGAGTTATCTCTCTATGGTGGGATCCTGCTGTACCTCACCAGGCCCAACAATATGCTTTTTGAAAGAGGTAGGTATCATTTTATTATGTATTTATGTTCTATTTTTTTCTTCTATTAATGCCATTCAACTTAAATAACGGGAGTTCAGATTCTATAATCAGTAAAACTTTCTAAAATGCCTCCTTTACATTTCATTCATTGGAAAAACAAACATAACCACCTCTAGGAAAGGAATATCAATAAGTTCCTTTGGTCAGAATTCAGTTTTATGGTAAAAAAAAAATAGTTTTGAGGTTTTCGGGTTTTTTTGTTTGTTTGTTTTTGCCATTCCTGAACACTGCTTTCAATGGATCTTGACCATCTAATAGAATTCTCTCACTTATCTCCTAGAGACTCCAGATGAAACATTTATCACTTCTCACCACTATGTCAAATAGAGTCTGTTCACAATATGCTGCTTATGGGAAGGAGAAATCAAGGCTCAGGTAAAGATTAAGCATCATCAATATGTTTAGCTGTTTGCTTCTATACTATCCATAATATTAGGATGCTCTAAGAAAATATTTGTAATAGAATATATACACCATAGTCTTATGTTCCTATAATTCACAAAAATACAGTCTAGTTCTTCTCTATGTAAAATCTGAATAAATAGGCTATTTTGTAAAACATGAGATTTGCTCTTAATCAACCTTTTCCACATGCACATGGGAAAACTGGTAGACCACTAGAAATTGTTTCTTCAGTATTCATGTTAGTATGTATTACAAACACAAACACAAACACAAAAACAAAAAATCATGTTTTTGTTCATCACCTGTTATTTCCTTTGCCTATTTTTTTTCCTTGGGATGAGACTTCCTGAATTCCTATTTGTTCTATGCAGTTTTGTGCTATATATAATGTGCATCTCTTAAGCTTTGTGAATGTATTCTAATTATTTGTAAACTCCACTTTAATTTTTGTGTGGCTACTGTTAACACTAGATTTTAATTTTGACAGTTTCTATCTTAACACAACTCAGACTTCTAGACTTTGCTCAGATTTATCTTTCCAGTATCTACAGTCTCTAATTCTTTTTACTCTGATCCACAAGCTTTTTTCCTCCTCTAATGGTAATAAATAAATAAATTAATTAATTAATTAATTAATTTAAAAAAACTGTTTTGTGCTGGCATCAGATCCTAAGGTTCTCTAGTGGTAATAGAAACTACTTTCTTAAGTTCTTTAAAAATAATCCTCTAGTAGAAATACTCAAATACTAAATGGCATTTTCTCTAGACCTTCCCTCTCCTTTTCCTTTTGCATTAAGATGGTGTATTTGGCAAATAGAACATAAGGATTTATAATGCAAAACCACCTATAAAATATATACCTATCTTAATTATTAATTTATACTTACATTAGTGTCTGGGAATTTATCCCAGGGAAATAGCACTGAATGTGAACGAAGACTTAGCTAATATATTGCTGCATCATTTCTTTTTAAATATGAAAAAAATCAGAGTCTTCCTAAATTTCCCTAGAATGGAGACTACTTCTATCAGTTATAGTGTATCCATATGAGAATGCCATATGGTTTGCTATAATGCTATTGTAAAAAGATATTTAATGAAAACTATAAAATACTGGCAAAAGAAACTGAAGAAGATACAAATAAATGGAAAGACATTCCATGCTCATTGAATGGAAGAATATTGTTAAAATGCTCATACTATTCAAAGCAAGGTACAGATCTAGTGCAGTCACTATCAATATCTCAATTGCATCTTTTGCAGCAATAGAAAAAAAAATCCTAAAATTCATAGAGAATGTCAAGGGGATCTATGTAGCCCTAACAATCTTGAAAAAGAAAAACAAAGTTGGAGGCCTCACACTTCAGGATTTCAAAACATACTACATAGCAATAATAAACAAGATGCTATGGGACTGGCATTAGAAAAAAATAGATGGACTAATGGAACAGAGAGCTCAGAAATACACTCTTAGATATTTGGCCAAATAAATTTCAGCAAAGGTGCTGTGACTACACAATGGGGAAAGGACAGTCTTTCAACAAATGGTGATGGGAAAATTGGATATCCACGTGCTAAAGAATGAAATCGAACTCTTACCTTATACATATATTAAAATTCAAAATGGACTAAACCTAAACATAAGGCCTAAGACTATAAGACTCTTAGAAGACAACAAGAGGGAAAGCTTCAGAACATTAGATTTGGTGATGATTTCTTACAAATGACCAAGAATAGACAACAAAAGCAAAAATAGACAAATGGTGCTACATCAAACAAATTTCTGTGTGTAAAACGATAACCTACAGAATGAGAAAATATTTGCAAGTATATCTAACAAGGGTTTGATATCCAGAATGTAAGGAACTTCCATAACTCAGTAAGAAAGTATTCAATTCTGTTTCATTGAGTTGTTTAAACAATTATTCAAGAGATATATAAAAGGCCAACAAGCACATGAAAAGATGTTCACCATCACTAATCATAAGAGAAATGCAAACCAAAACCACAAAGAGATGTCACCTCACACCCATTAGGATGGCCACTACCAAAACAAAAAATGACTGTTGGCAAGAATGTGGAGAAATTGAAATTCTCGTGCACTGTTAATGGGAATGGAAAATGGTACAGCCATTTCGAAAAACAGTATGGAATTTCCTCAAAAATTTAAAAATAGAATCCTATGATTCAGCAATATCACTTTTGTGTTCAAAGTAGAATCTCAAAGAGATATTTGCACACCCTTGTTCATTGCAGCACTATTCATGATAGCTAAGAGGTAGAAGAAATCCAAATGTCTATCGATAGATGAATAAAGCAAATGTAGTATATATATAGAATGGAATATTATGCAGTCTTGAAAAAAATGTCCTGTCACATGCTACAACAGAGATGAATGCTAAGGACATTATGCTAAGCAAAATAAGCAGTCACAGGAAGACAAATACTGTATGATTCCACTTCTGTGTAGTATCTAAAGTAGTTAAAAAAAAAAAAGTAAAAAGGTAGCTGTCAAAAGCCTGGGGTGGAGGCGATCAGTGTTTAATGGGTATACAGCTTCAGTTTAGCAAGATGAAAAGATTCTAGAGATCTGTTATACTTACAGATATTTACGTTTTTTTTCTTAAAGATCTTATTTATTTATTTGACAGAGAGACACAGCGAGAGAGGGAACACAAGCAGGGGGAGTGGGAGAGGGAGAAGCAGGCTTCCCGCTGAGCAGGGAGCCCGATGTGGGGCTCGATCCCAGGACCCTTACAGTAAATAAATTTAACACTACTGAACTATACACTTTAATAGTTAAGATGACAAACTTAAGGTTATGTGTTTTGCCACAATTTAAAAAGAATACTTAATACAGGAAATATTCCTGATATATTAAGTGAAAAAGGCAAATATATAAATAGTATAGCAGAGTATAATCCCTGATGAAATACTTAACACTTGATAAACCTTATAAAATGCTTCAGGGTTATAAACCAAAATATCAACATTTATTAATTCTGTGATCTAGGGCCATAGGTCTTCTTTCTTTTTAATCTGTAGTTTCTAAATGAATTTATAAACCATTTTTAAAAGTACAATGAGGGGCCACAAATATATGACATTGGCCCCATGAATAGGGACATTAGTGCTTTATTGTTCTTTTGGATCTAACATTTTAAAGGCATGCTTTGAGTAGGTAGACCTGGCAAGAAGAAAAGCTGCATATCAGTATTAAAACATAAAATGATTCCTTGGGGATGACTGAATTTTGAATAGTGGCTCTAGCACATGAGACCCATCACATACATAGCAGATTTGTTCCATGCAGCTTTTGAGGACAAAGAGTTGAAACTATGGTATTATTCCTCCAGAGTGTAGATTCATAATGAAACCAAGAAAACAGTGTGCTGAGCTAACAATTCATTTTTAACTGTTTAGCCATCTCATAAAATTAGCCCAGAAAGTGCCAACTGCTAATCTGGAGGATGTTTTGCCACTAGCTGAAGAGATCAACACAATCCTCTCCAAGTGCTGTGAGTCTACCTCTGAGGACTGCATGGCCAAGGAGGTAAGAGAATCCTCATCATGGGCCGTGTACTGAGTGGCAGGCACTCTGGGTTGCTTTTTACCTACATCAGCTCAATGAATCCTTGTGACATTTAAGTGTATTGTTAACCCCATTTTATAGATAAGGAAACAAGATTAACCAGGATGAATAATTTGAAGTCTTACAACTAGGAAGTGGCCAAGTCCACACACAAGGACAAGATCATCTAACTCCAGAGACTTTATTCTACCTGCACAGCCCAGTGCAGTTTAATTATAATTAAACAAGTTCTTAAGTTAATTCCTAAAACTTAATATTTAAACTCAATTCCTTGGAAACACTAGTCATATTTTTTTTAATTTTTTAAAATTTAGGTAATCTCTACACCCAACATGGGGCTGGAACTCTCGACCCTGAGGTCAAGAGCCACATGCTCTACCAACTGAGCCAGCCAGGCGCCCCACTAGCTACACATCAAATGCTCAATAGCATTGGACAGTATAGATAGAGATCATTTCATCACAAAGTTCTATTGAACAATATTGCAACCATTAGATTATTAGGAAGTGCTCATGTTTATACCTGTTATAACTGGGTCAATTTTTTTCCCACCATTTTTCATTTACCTAATCCTTTCAAGCAGATATGAATTTGAACAGTTGCTTTAGATAAAGGTTACTCTAAGTCTTTGGACCTCTTTAGAAATAGGTATATTGTATTGCGTGGTCTTCTTCCTCTAAGAAAACAGGTCTGTGTTAATAGGTGTTTTTCTATAACCTGACTCAGAACCTTTCATATATACCAGGTCAAGGCTTGTAAGCCTACCTAAGCCTTATTTTTTTAAATTTTATTTTATCATGTTATGTTAACCACCATACATCATATCATTAGTTTTTGATGGAGTGTTCCATGATTCATTGTTTGTGTATAACACCCAGTGCTCCATTCAATACATGGCCTCCTTAATATCCATCCCCAGGCTAACCCATCCCCCCCCACACCCCTCCCCTCTAGAACCCTCAATTTGTTTCTCAGAGTCCATAGTCTCTCACGGTTTGTCTCCCCCTCCAAATTCCCCCCCTTCATTTTTCCCTTCCTACTATCTTTTTTTTTTTTTTAACATGTATTACTTGTTTCAGGGGTACAGGTCTGTGATTCATCAGTCTTACACAATTCACAGCACTCACCATGACACATACCCTCCCCAATGTCTGTCACCCAGCCACCCTATCCCTCCCACCCCCAACCACTCCAGCAACCCTCAGTTTGTTTCCTGAGATTCCTCATATCAGTGAGGTCATATGATACATGTCTTTCTCTGATTGACTTATTTCGCTCAGCATAAGACCCTCCAGTTCCATCCACGTCATTGCAAATGGCAGGATATCATTCCTTTTGATGGCTGCATAACATTCCATTGTATATATGTACCACATCTTCTTTATCCATTCCTCTGTCGATGGACACCTTGGCTCTTTCCACAGTTTGGTTATTGTGGACATTGCTGCTGTAAACATTGGGGTGCATGTACCCATTCGGATCCCTACATTTATATCTTTGGCTAAGCCTTATTTTTAATGAGGCCAACCAGGAAACTAACAGTGCACAAACTCACAATTGCTTTTATAGCTGCCTGAATACACAGTAAAAATCTGTGACAACTTATCCACAAAGAATTCTAAGTTTAAGGACTGTTGTCAAGAAAAAACGCCCATGGACGTGTTTGTGTGCGCTTACTTCCTGCCAGCTGCCCCAACACCTGAGCTGCCAGCCATCGAGTGGCCCACAAATACAGACCTGTGTGACAAAGGGAATGCCAAAGCCATAGATCAGTAAGTAGAGTTGATCAGAGTAATTTTTTTCATGACGGTATTGATATTTACTAGCACTAAGTGACAAAGAAATGAAAGGTTTGCCATTTCTTCCCATTCATCTGTTTTCATCCAATGAAGAACTAGAATAGGCCATATGTTTCATATACCATGAGCTGCATAAGCTACAAGTATGTGCACATCCATGGCATAGAAATATTTCACAGATAGGTTGGATTAACAAGTCGGAAAATGGCCAATATTAGAGATCAGAATTTAGACTAACTTTAGACTAATGTATATTTGTCTAAATATTTTCATAAATGCATAGAGAGCAATGGAATAAGACAATGGAAGGATTGACACAAATCTACTTCCACAGAAAAGCCATTCACAGTACCTACTTGATGCTTTATGTAGTGTTCATTGTATTATGGCTACACAAAAGCTAGCTCCATATGCATTTGAAATAGATGTTTATATATAATATACACATATGTGTATATATAGTACACATAAAGCTTTAATTATTAACTAGTCAGAATAGCTCCAAAGCAACTACTAATAATTTGCATTTCGATGAGAATATTAATCCCAAACCTGTTGATTTGGAGTCAGTTTTACCTAAACCTTTTATTTCTAATTAAGATGCAGAAGCCAGGTGATCAGCCTTTATAACAGAGACCCAATTTCAAACATGACACACATACACAAATCTACTCATGTTAAAAAGTATTCGCTCCTTTCCCTCTCATGCCAGGTATACATTTGAACTAAGTAGGAGAACTCATCTCCCAGAAGTATTCCTCAGTAAAATACTTGAGCCAACCTTCAAAAGCCTTGCCGAATGCTGTGACTCTGAAGATGCTACAGGCTGTATGAATGCTCAGGTACCACTCGCTACATTTCCTTTACCAACCTTGGTAGAAGTCAAGGGTTGGAAATCTGTAGCTCATGGGCCAAATCGGACCCAATGTCTGTGCTGTATGGCCTGTGAGCAAAGAATGGTCTTCTATTTTTAAATGGTTTTTAATTTTATGACAAAAATGTGAAACTCAAAATTCAGTGTTCATAAAGTTTCGCTACAACACAGCCTTACTCCTCGTTTGCACATTGTTTATAGTTGCTTGTGTGCCATATTGGCAGAGTTGAGTAATTACAAAAGAAACTATATATAGGTTACAAAACCTAAAATATTTACTATCTGGCCTTATGTAGAGAATGTTTGTCAATATCTGGTGTAGATAATAAACACACATACTAATACATTAAACAGAATTCTGATTTAATGTTCTTCTAGAACAATGCTTCAAGACAAATAATTTTGTATGTAATTGTTTTCTTACAGGGCCCTCAACTGAAAAAGGAATTATCTTCTTTCATTGACAAGGGACAAAAACTATGTGCAGATTATTCAGAAAATACTTTTACTGAGTATAAGAAAAAGTAAGGGACTTTTCTGGCTGTTTTGTCTACATTTATCAATATTAGTTTGGTTTTGTGGTCTCAGAGTATAGTTGAGGATTAAGATGTGCTAAGTGAGCAACAGAAAGAAGAGGTGCAATCAAGAGTTTAAAAAAGTAGAATCTAGTATTTATGTAAGGAAGAAATGGAGTTCTTTTCAGAGGGGGAAAAAGTCATGTGTATCAGGTGAGGTCAACTAGAACACAGCCACAGAAGTATAAATTACAAGACCTGCAGGAACTTGATTCAAAAAAACACCAAATGAGCCCAGAGTTCATCAACATTCTTGCCCTAAAACTTATGTAGATGTCGCCACACATAATTGAACTGTAAAACTGCAGAAAAAGGTTACCTAACCTCGTGGCATATTGTGTCTGACAAGACAACCCAACTTTCAATCAAGTGTGATACCACCCATGACCAGCATGTATTCTTTACAAATTGAAAATAATCATCAGTAATGTTGTACAAGAGTCAATAGTCGTGTTTCTCAAGAGAAGAAAGGCCATACTAGTGAAATGAATTTTACTGGGTTCCTAACGATCCATGGCATTCCCACCTTCATTAAGTAGATTTCTTAGATCCATTTCAAATCATCTTGGTCAACATAGGCCTAAAGCAAGCACAGATAGAACTCCACAAAAAGAACTAAGAATTCCAAAAGTAGGTCGCCTCCTTCAATGACCCCCCCTGAAGCCTACTTTAGCAAAGCTCTAAAAGAAAATGAAAAACTGTGAAAGCCTTAAGTTCAAAATGCTTATTTCCCAATGATCAGAAAACAGCATAGAATAACATTAAACAGATAATACAAGTTTTGTACCCCAGTGTTTCCGTGGGCAACTGACAATTTATATAATCTCAATACATTAAAAATAGCAATGAAGTAGAATTGACCTTTGGGTTATGAAATCAAAGATTGAGACAACTGCATCCAGGTATTTGAAATCCTGCACAAGTGTACACACACATACCCACACTTTTTCTTTCTCCATTCTCTGAGTTCCTTCTGGGCTGACTTGCCTCTTCTTCCAGCTGGGACCAACTCTTTTCAGTAATGCTATTATGAGCAAACTAGTCCCCCTAACCCTCTTGTCCTTTCCCAGCATCCACCTTACTGCAACTAGATAAATTTGGGTTTCTACCACCTCCCATTGCCCACAACTAGGCTGGCAAGTAGTTCCTGGAGAAGGTCCTAAAACCAGGCTGAGTTGCCCATTATAAGAGTAGAGAGATACCAAGATTCTACAGACAATCCAGAGGACTCAAGTCCTAGTGCCATCTTAAAAACTAGATGGAAAGTTAATTGATAGTAGAGCTAAAAACAAGAGCCAAAGTTTCTGACCTTCTTTGTGTTTCTCCAACATAGCCAGTTGAGAAGTAGGCACACTGAGGGGGAATGTGTGTAAAATGAGAGAAGAGAAAAAGTATTAAGGTGGCATAAATTTCCATGAGGGAAATACTCTTTAAGGAGCTTGAAATCTAGCACTGGAGAGAAGATGAAAAGTCAGGAAGAAGAGGAGAGGAAGGGATCCATGTTAATATAACAGAGGAAACGAAAGGGGAAAGACTGGAATTCAAATCCAGCAACAAATTTTAAGTTTACTTTTAGGGTCTTAAAAGAGATGTGGAGATTTCATTTTCTGACCTTGAACTGAGTCGCTAAAAATCACTCCATGGATCCGAAGTTTAAGAGCAACTATTTCCATTTTTCTATTGTAAAAGACCTGAAGTGGGTTATCAGCTTGCATCAGAAAGGTTTATAAAATACATCTAGTAAAACCTTACATAAATATGGTCTTTCAGACTAGCAGAGCAATTAAGAGCACAATTCCCTGATGCCAGTGCCGTGGAACTCCAAGGGCTGATTGACAAGCGCTCAGACTTTGCCTCCAAGTGCTGTTCCATCAACTCACCTCCTCTCTACTGTGATTCAGAGGTAAGAAAATCTAACCCTCTACTTAGCACTGCACAGTATTTTAAGAATTTTACTCAGACTTGCTCATTCCTTTGTTACTGAAATGCTATTATGTGGCAGACTTTTCCTGACACTTTCCTGAGAAAGACAATTACTATTTCCTTGTTATGCTAATGTAAAAGCAAATTGAGGCAGTTGCAAAACTTTGTTGCCTATATTCATAAACCCTTGTGTTAAAGTACACTGCAGTGTTTTTCAAACTGAAGGTTGTAACATCAACACCTTTTTAAAATAAAAAAAATACGGTAGAAATAGAGTCCATCTCACACAGTAAGGGTAAATATTTTGTGAATTTTACTTCATATATGTACATGCACATAGGTATCAGTAGATAGAAATACTTTTAGAAACCTGGATCACACACCTTCTCTCAATTATGAGAATTTGATTTTGTTTTAAGAAAAAAATGCAACTGAAAATTAACGGTCACTAATGTTTCTTTAGAGTAAGAGGTTCTAAAAGTTAAGATGGAGTCATTTCTCATTACTAAATTTTTTTAGATGCTATCGATTTGCTTCAAAACTTTAAAAGCTAAAGAAATCAGCTTGGGTTCATCTTTCTTTAAATGTTAATAATGTTAATCCCCCTGCTCCTCCATTCCCTTTCCCTTATTCCTCTCCTCTCTAGCTTTCCTTCTGTCCCTTAAATGTAATTTGCATAGATGCCAGGTCATTTATTTTTTTACATTGTGCATGACAGAGGCATTTCCAGCCAGACTTTTTTTCTGTAGTCTGTTAGTGTATCCCTTTCACTACCTCTGAGCCTACTGGCTTTCTCCTATAAGCCAGTGTGAGGCAGGTACTTAGTGTCCTACCTTTATGCCGGCTGCAGGTATAGAGGAGGGGAGCCCAATTTAGGACACGTAGGTCCGCTGCAGATAGATCTGGTCATGCTCTGAGATTTTGTTCAATGTTTTAAGCTAGCATGTCCTCCATCAAGTCAGTATCTATCCTATTCCATGGGGAGAGGTTCTGTTGGCCTTTTTCAGCTATAGTAAGCCCACTCACATCCTCCATTTGACCTATTCCTCCCCAGCAGTCATATCAATTATTTAGAAGAGTCAAAAAGACAACATTTCATTCACTTTACTGCTAATTTGGTGGTATTAGTGATCATTCCAAGAACTGTGTTGTCTCCCGTTCCACTTCTGGAATACAGAGGCAGGGTTAAGAGCAACTCTATGCCAAACCAAAATATCTTCTTCCTTTGCTCACCTCTTTCTGAAGCTCATGATATTAAATTATTTTCTTTCTTACTCTGGCAGTGGCTGTTGAGATTTGGCTGATTTTACTATTGTTTATTTTGTCATGTGTTGGGGAAGAAGCAATTATGATCCATTCTTGACCTGCCATTTTTGTGTTTTTACATAAAAAGAACTACAGTGGTATATATGCTGCCGAAGCGAGCACAAAAAAAAAGAACTACAGTGGAAGTCAATATTTAGGCTGATAATTTAGTGTCAGTTAGAAGGCCTCTTCTATAAGCTGGACAAATTCATGTAAATTCTTGAAAGATCTTCATTTAGACCATGAAAGTGACAAAAGCTTAGTGTCATCTTATTCTATTATTTTTTCTATTTCTAGTATTCTATTAGAGCACATTTGAAAATATCTAAGAACTTAGTAGAAATTACAAAAGTTCAAATGTCAGAAAAAACTATAAAGATCATCTAGTAGAACTTTTCACTCCACTAATTCCTTCCAGAGGTCATTCAGCCCACACGTAAATGTCTATAATCAATTTATTTTCTCCTAGAGGTAGCCTATTTCACTGCCAGGTGGCCTCATTTATGAGAGCTTTCTTCTACAAGTTAAGCCACAGTATTACCCTCATGATTTCCACTGACTGGTCTGGTTTTCTTTACCAGCTAGAAAATGTCTCTCTTCTCAATAGCAGCTTTTATACCTAAAATGGCTTTTTAAAAGTTAGCCAGGTCTTAAGTGATACATCTGATAAAGGGTTAGTATCCAAAATATATACTGAACTTATAAGTCACCACCCAAAAAGTGAATAAGCCAATCAAAAAATTGAAAAAAAAGTCTATTCATGTCTTCTGCCCAAGAAGCCATATGGATAGCCAACAGACATATGAAAAGATGCTCAAAAAAAAAAAAATCACTGGATATCAGGGAAGTACAAATCAAAACTACAAGGAGATACCATCTCACAACTGGCTAAAATCAACAACACAAGAAACAACATGTGTTGGCAAGGATGTGAAGAAAGGGGAACCCTCTTGCACTGTTGGTGGGAATGCAAGCTGGTGCAGCCACTCTAGAAAACAGTACAGAGTTTCCTCAAAAGGTTGAAAGTAGAACTATTCTATGACCCAGCAATAGCACTACTAGGTATTTACCCAAAGGATATAAAAATATTGATTCGAAGGGGCACATGCACCCTTATGTTTATAGCAGCATTATCTACAATAGCCATATTATGGAAACAGTCCAAGTATCCATCGATGGATGAATGGATAAAGAAGATGTGGTATATACACACGATGGAATATTACTGAGCCATAAAAAAGAATGAAATCTTGCCATTTGCAACATGTTGGAGCTAGAGAGTATTATTCTAAGTGAAGTAAGTCAGAGAAGGACAAGTACTATATGATTTCACTGCTATGTTGAATTTAAGAAATGAAACAAATGAGCATGGCAAGGGGAAGAAAAATAGTGTTTCTTGGTTTGCCTCTAACTATGGAGAATAAACTGATGGTCACCAGAGAGGCGGTGGTGGGGGGATGGGTTAAACAGATGATGGGGATTAAGGAGCACTATGTGATGAGCACTGGGTGATATATGGGAGTGCTGAATCACTATACTGTACACCTGAAACTATTATCATACTGCATGTTAGCTGGAATTTAAAAACTTAAAAGTTAGGCAAGTTTGGTCTCATAGTACTAATATTTTAGTGAAGTTTTATTTGTTTTTGCCTGTATAGCACCTAACAAAGTCCTAATTAGTTTGCCAAACTGAGCTACATCACCTTGTTTGTTGTTCTGCTTAATATCCTGGGAGATTCTGATTTCTCTTCTAATTTCTACATTCACACCCTAGAGCCAAACCTATTAGCCAATCTTGTTTGTAGCGATTTTAAAGTTAGAACTCCAGATGAAGAGCAAAAGCCTATTCTTTAAATTCTGCTGAGAAATAGATCATGTTTATCTTTCATGAAAATTCAAGCCAAGTGAGATTCTAAACATAAAAATTGGAGGAGTTGGATTGCTACAATATTTTGGTCATTTTCAGCATTAAAACACTTAGCATAAAACAACTGAGCAGTCCCTTCCTTTACTACTAACCTGCAACAGCTGAATTAGGTTGCCTTATGCCAGAAAAATAAAACTACCTCACTTAGAAGTTGTTACCAAAAGATTTTGCTGAGTCTCACTCAATTATTAAAAGGACTAAGTTGTTTTTTTTTTTTTTACATTCTGTCAAAAAGCAGCAGTTTTGTAACCCTTCCCGACTTTTTGTTATCTGTTTATCCATATACACACTTTCCTTTTTGACATCATACAAGACAAACTGAACAATTGCACACAACACATGCTTCAAGTCCATTGCTTCTCTTTTTTTGTTGTTGCTTTTCAGATTTTTTTATTATAACATATGGCCATTTAAAAACGTTGTATTTTCAATTACAATGATGAAAAGGCAGGCTTACAACGATGTTCTTGCTTTATACCCAGCAAATGTAGAGCAGTGCTGCTGCTGAATAGCCAATCTTTCAGAAACCTGCTAGACAAGAGGGGGACAAATGGAGTGGAGGCACTTGCACACATGTGATTATTTGGAGCACTGGGAGAGGAGACCCTCTGCAGTTTGCATTAGCCCTTTAGATGCTCTTTCTACGCTAATCTCACAGCTAGGTTAATGAGCTGGCCTCTGGGACTTCATGTTAGAACAGCACTCACTTTGATTCTCAATGCTTGGTGTGAGTATTTGTCCTGTCACTCTGTAATATTTGGGATATAATTTATTAAACCTCCTTGCCCTATATTTTTTTTGACAGATGTTTTTCCTTTAAAATAATGCCCATCTACTACATTGACTCCAAGTCATTTATATCCAGGGATCTACCTCTTTCGACCATTCTAAATATACTTGGCACAGCCGCTAGAAGAATGGCAAAAGGCACTTCTGAACCAGATTAAATCAATGTTTCATTAATTTCAACATGGCCAAAATCTTCTCCTTAAAAACCTCCTCTTGTGTTTCCTAAGTTTATGAGTATCACCACCATTCACCCATTGTCTAAGATAACAAGTGATCCTTGATATCACTTTTCATATATATCCAAATTCCAAATCCTACCAATTTTTTCCTCCCAGCCCTTTAATATTTACTTAAACAGGTTGAGGCACAAGCAATAATAAATCCTATCAGTTCTAACACCTCAGTATCTCTATCTCCCCACTTACTTCTACATTATTGGTACTTAAGTTTAGGCAACCTTTTGCCTGCAGTATAATGTCCCAATTGGTCTTCCATCTCCAGTCCCCCCACTTTCCAGGCCTCACACCCACCCTCATCTCTATACAGAGGTCAAAATAACCTTTGTAAAACACAAAATAGTTAGTACATTCCTCTATCTCCATTGCATCTAAAGTTTTGTTTTGTAATAGAGTTTGGACCCTTGACTTCCTTTCCAGTTCGATCTACCATTACTGCTTGTTCCTCCTGCTTTGGTTCTCCTGAACTACTTGCAATTTTTCAAGTACATTCAGCTTGCTCTGACCTCAAGGATTTTGCGCATAATGACTCATCCCAGATTGCCTCATGCTCACTCCAACCTGGATAAATCTTCCATCAAGTCTCAGGATTCAATTTAGGCCTCACCTACCTCCTTTGGGAATCCTTCCCTGGACTCAAGCTCTTCTGTTAGCCCTTACTATTCTGGGCACACCCAGTAATTGGCACTTATTAACTATTGTCCTCTCTTTCTTGTCTATTTTTCCTGGAACACTGTACATTCTAAGGGCAAAGACAGTATAAAACTAAATAAATGTGAATGCTGGCTCATAAAAAGTTTACTATAAAGCTACATTTTGACAAGAATCTTTTTCCCTAAGCAAGGTTCAAATTTGTGTATACCTCCTGCAACAGTCCTCAAAATACTTTATGACTTAGATAACATTTTTTCATTTCAGATTGATGTTGAAATGAAAAATATCCTATAGTCCTGATGCATGTGTGTATTAGGTAAGTATAGTTTAAAGGCAGCAAAGAACCCAGATTTGTATTTTAAAAATCTGAGAACAATTTGAATAGTCTCCTTTCTAACTATCATCTATTCAGACTCATTTTACAGTGAAAATATTAAGCCTATGGAAAAGTTAAGGTGCTTATAACGCATAGACACAACCAACTTCTGACCTATTTAGGCCTAGAATCCAGGTCCCCAGCTTGGTACTATATCCATTACAACTTCACATCTACGATAATGACAACATGGAGATCATTTCAGGAATTTTGAGACATTCAAAGTTTAAAGACTCAGTTTAAAGACAGAGTCCATCAAGTCTTAAAGACAACAGGGTTCTTAGGAGGAAAGAGACATTTTTCAAATTAAAGCAACATGTTTGAAGTATTATCACTTGCTTATTTTAGATATTACACTTTCACCCATTAAAAAATGTGTGAAGATGTTGAGCCTAAAGTAGAACCCCATACCTTAAACCAAAGGTGACCTCAACTCTGCACATTACAAAATTATTCTCTCCAGATTTAATTGTATTCATTTTAAAGATATTACTTTTGAGATTAAAAGTGATGAAAACAATCATTTAGGTTTATTTCAGACCTTCATTGAACAGAGGTTTTTAATGCTGTAAGACTGTTATTTTGCTGATTTATTGACAACATTCCTCAAAATGATATGGAAGCAAAGATCATTGACTAAGGAAATTAAATCATTCCATCATATCCAGGCTGTCAATGTAAACTCTTTGAATGTAAAATGGTAAAAAAGAAAATTAACATCCTGAGAGGCAGGACAATGGGGTTGGTCATGGAAACTTTTGAAATCACCCACTCTACATTAGAACCCCCACTCCAACTATCTTTGTAAGCAAGTTATTATACTCCTTAAAGCTCAGTTTCCTTTTCTGTGAAAAGATATTACAGTATGTTCCGCCTTGTTGTAATGATGAAAGGGAGGGGATGTGTAGAAATGCCTAGGAAATGGCAGTCCTACCAGCAACATTGCTGCTGTTGTTTCGACTACGTATAACGTGAATCTAAACTCAAATGAGTTTCCCCCAGATCCATCAGTCTTTTCATGTTTTAAATTGCTCTAGAATAGATCCCTTTTCTTCTAAGTTTTCTCTTCCTAGGGGCACATACTGTTGAGTGTGAAGCAGTTCCTAAAACCGTTAAACCAACTGTGGCTGGCTCTGCATTCTATCTCAACGAAAGCCTGTATTTCGGCAGATGGAGGAGCTGAAGCCTTGGTTTCAGAGGGTTCTCATCCTTAAGTACACCTCCAATTCAGGGCTTCCAGCCAACAGTGTGTTGCAGTTTCATTCTTAACTAAAAGCATATTATAAACCGGAGTTGTCCTCTTGACCGTTATTGGTCCCCTTGATCACTTTCTTTCTTCAAGCCCCAAAATTGACTGTGGCATACCTCACTAGAGAGAGAATTATAGTCTCCTGATAAATCCCACAAGGCCAGTTAGCTTCTTCCTTCAGCTTTGGAAAGAGTGTTCCCTGGGTTGCCAACAGATAAAGGAATAGGCTCCCATTGCAGACTCAAGTTGGATAGAAAACACTACCAGAATCACACTCAGCATAACCAGGTGCTTACACCGTGAGAGAAACTAGTGAGGAAAGCACAAACGGGTCTCCCATCTCAAAGGCATAAACGCAGGACAACGAAAGATGGAATTTCTTACACTGTGCAAACAGAACTATGGTATAACTTTGCTATCCAGTCTTGGTGGGTTTGGTAACCAAGGTGGGGGGGGGGATCATATTTGATTCATTACAAAGTAGAGGGGGATTTGACAAAAACTCACTGTGTCACTAAAAAAAACTATTCTCTCAATCCCATGACAAGGGAGGCTCATGTGCTATTGGTTGCTGCATTTTTTTGTTTTGGCCATAACCATTCATTCTGCGAGCACAAAGTTACACACAACATTAATTCAAAGAAAGAAAGAAAAGCTATGATGTACCTTAACATAACAGTGATGGCCTCCTACACAGGTCTTGGGAATTTCTTACATTTTTATTCTGGACCCATCAGGTGGGTCATTGTGGATAATATGTGTCATGTTAGACAGGTCTCTCTTTTAACATAAAAATAACCAGACCTTATAAACATCTGCTGAGTGGTATTACGATTGTTGCCCATTAGCAGTTTTTCTAACATTTATTTTCATTATTCTCATAGATCTGTTGTTGGAACCACCTGGGAATATCTCATGGCCTAACCTAAGCAAAACCAGAGCTCCTGGGGAGACCAGTAGGATACTCCCTGCTTTTTATCAGCTACATTTTCTTTATACAACAAGTTTGATAATTTACTATAAAAAATAAATATAATGCAGACCATAAATTTTCCTGAGGATGTTACAACGCTGATCTTCAGCTCTGTCCCTGTGATTTTCACAAAGATGCTGCGATAGGCAGCCCCAACCTCACGAACCCCTGCTTTTTTCTAGCTCTCTGCTGTGTCTTTCTGGAAGATTCACAACATTAAGTATCCACTTTCAAATTCCCAACACCCTAAGTTCCATTTCTTGATTGCTTCTCAGGCTTAATAGGTACCATTAAGGAAAAGTTAGCCAGACTTCTATCATAAATAGCCTGGGATAGTTCACTTCTTAAAGAACCACCACCACCATCTTCCTGAGAACAACTTTGTGCTCCCAGCTTCAGGTTGTGTGGCATTAAGTAACAGCTGCCTTGCATAAAAATCTCTGTGGTCTGAACATTTTTATCTTTGCTAAAGATGACTCCTCAGAGCAATTTATTGGATCAAAATTCTCAACACCTGATTTCAGCTTAATTCAATTTACCACATGTACACTGTAGAGGATATTATTTCTATGTGCTTTCTTTGCTCAGGGGAAAAAAAATCAATGTTCTAAGTTGACAGGTTTTATTTTGAAAAAACGATCATACTTTTAGAATAAGCACCTCTCTGAAACCAATACAAGCCAAGGAAACCTTCTAAAACTAATTGCCTGAAGGAATTTACATTTATCTCATGGTAGATGTAGAGTTATATGGTAGAGATGAGCATATTTTAGAGCTAAAGATAAAGATAAGTGGAGTCCCATTAACCAAAATCATCCCTGGTCATGCCTCAAGATTCTAAGTCTTCTCAGCAGAAAGAATTTCATTAACTAAGCCGAGGTCAAATACTCAAGACTTCAGCTGCCAGGAACTGGGAAATAAAATGCTTGTCCCCTTGCAGCTTCTGTAGAAGGTTCCAGTCTTACCTCCCACAAAGATTCCAAAATGGGAAATTAACCTCAAATAGAAAAATTCTTCAGATACCATGAAGGAAAAAAAAAAAAAGGCAACAAACTATGCACTACATATTTAGTTATTTTTTTACTTCCAAAAGTACCTTGCTGAAGCTTCAAAACCAACTCTGGGATGTAAACATCATTGATAAAAATAAGAAGAGAATGAAACTCCAAAAAAATGAGTGGCCCACAGTTAACAGTGAAGAGCAAAGCAGAGACTTAGCCTTCAAGTCCAGTATGCCATATAAGATTAATGGGCATACTGGAAGAATGTGTTCCCTGATGAAATTAGTTCTGGAAACAATATAATGTATCTCCCTTGAAGAGTCACAATTGACTGTGTACAATTTAGTATTCCCTAAATTTAACCACTGACCCCTTTTTCTTTGGATATCACCCAGAATTATTGCTCTGTAAGATTAATCTTGGAAAATTCTGCTCCGTTCTTGAGAAATTACATTTACAAATTGTTCATTAACCACTACAAACAAGCCCGTTTTGATCAAGCATTTTTATGCCTGACCAAGTAGAATGGAGTGTTTTTTGTCACTAAGTATTCGATAAATATTACATGATGGGTTGAAGTAGTGCTTTCATGGTGGAATATATTTATATACTGGAATATATTTATATTTATATGCTGGAATATATTTTCCAGCAAGCTCTGAACAACTTTCATCGGTTTCTTTTATATTAGGGATCTCTGACCCAAATATACCATCATTCTAATACAAGTTTTAGTTTTAGACTTTATATGCATAGTTTATATGCATTCTACTCTGGGTAGAGTTTTGCTTTTAAGGCCTTTGGTTGGATGAGGCCTATGCACATTGTCAAGGGTAGTAATCTCCCTTACGTAAAGTCAGCCAGTGTTTGATGTTAATCACATCTACAAAATACCTTTACAGCAACATCTAGACTAACATTTGACTAAACAAATGGCTGCCATAGCCTAGCCAAGTTGACCCATAAAGTTTAGCCATCACACAAAACTTCTGTAACTTGCATTGTCCTTTACGAGGCTTAATGTCTTTCCAATTGTAGTACTAACTCCCTGTGTTTTTCTAGATGCCTAAGTCATTCCACAAGTGATTCCTAAAGGATCACCTGAGATCATCACCTTAAGTGGTCTACACAGGATTAGTATATTAATGCCTTTTCCTGGAAATGCTTAAAACAAACAAAGCTCCTTTTTATGGAGATTTTAATTTAAAAACCTAACAAGAGGAAAGCCTTTCTATTATGTCATTTAATTCAACAGCAATATGCTCTAATGAAACAAGAATTGAGTCAACTTGACAGTTTACCCAATTTCCAAATAGCTAAAAATAAACAAGAAGGCTTAGAAGCTTGTGTTTTTATGACTCTGGTCTTCCTTCTGTGTACCTCTCCCCACCACCAAAGCCTCACCTTCACCCAATCTATAGACCAGTGATTCTCAGAGATTCGGGTTTAATCAGTCTTGAATGGAACCTGCTGTGCAAACCCCTGCACATCATGCTTTAGAAGCTTGGCACATGGGGCACCTGGCTGGCTCGGTTGGTTAATCATCTGCCTTCGGCCTCAGGGTCCTGGGATCAAGCCTGGCAGCCTCGGGCTCCCTGCTCAGCGGGGAGTCTGCTTCTCCCTCTCCCTCTCCCTCTGTTCTCTCTCTCAAATAAATAAATAAAATCTTAAAAAAAAAAAAAAAAGCTTGGCACCCTCACCCAAATTAGAAAAAGAGAAGCATCTGAAATCAACCAGTAAAGGACCTGTTGGTTGGCTAAGTGGTTATACTGGGCAAGGGTGAATTTCTAATATCACTTGCCCTCTGTCTGCCATTGCATTATGAAAATGCTGTCGATTATGGAATGAAATTTTTGTCTCCCATTAAAGAAAACCCAGTCATAGATAAGTCAAAAGATGGCCTTTCCCAGAGGCTATTTCTTCCTTGTCCATTTCTTCCAGGATCTGAGATATTCTTTTCCCCCATCAGGACAAGAAAGTACCTAATTATTCCTTCCACTACACACACCACCACGAGTCTCCTCATTTTATAACTAATGCTTTTTGGCAAATTCTAGTTTGCAATTAACGATAGTACCTACTTACCCATCTTGATTCTCCCCCAGTAAGAAAGTTTCCAACAATGAATTAGGTGTCTTTTCTCATGCTACAATCCCAGAAATACGGATTTTGCAACCCCTTATGCTGCACCATGAAAAGCCTCCGGAGGGCATGCCTGTTTCAAATAAAAATATCTTTGCCTCCACCTTGTGGTTGACAGGCCTAAATGCAGATAGCTGTGCAGAAATCTATTCTGAAATCAGATTTTCATAAAGTGGATGGTACCTGATCACCTGTAATATGCTTACTTTGTGCTACAGCTGTACTTAGAACAACGTGAAAAGCCAAGATAACAAGGTATAGAATTCTCAACCTTTATTCTCAGAGATTTCAACGAATGTGTGAATTGGCAACTTTGTACACAACAGACCAAATGATCTGTCCAAATTTTTCCTTTAGATCCTGAGAATGTTTAAAATTTTAAGAAAAAAAAATTAACCCATTTTTCTCTCTGAAAAGATAGCATCAATGATGGAGTAGAAGTACCTAATATTAAACTCCTGCTAAGATTAGGTAAGAAAATGTAAGAAATAATACAATACTTCACGTTGCACACACTGTGTTGTCAACAACCGACCTCTGTGCTTCGGAACCAAATTACAGCTGGAAGACAGAGTTTGGGATAAAGAGGAACAGCAGCTTTATTGTTTTGCTGGGGAAAGGAGGAGGCAGCAGGCTACGGCCTTCAGAAACTGCAAGCCTGGGCCCTTGGGTGGCTCAGTGGGTTAAGCGTCTGCCTCCCGCTGGAGTCATGAGCCCGGGGTCCCGGGATGCAGTCCCGCATAGGCTTCCTGCTCAGCCCGGAGACTGCTTCTCCCTCTCCTCCCTGCTTGTGCTCTCTCTCCCTCTCCCTCCCTCTCTCTCAAATAAATAAAATCTTTAAAAACAAACAAACGAAACAAACAAAAACCCTGCAAGCCCTCCCAGGGCAAGGGGCTGGGCGCTTTTTGGGGAAATACAGGATCTAGCGGGTTTCAACAGGAACTGCGGTTGTGCTGCCAGCCTTAGTCGTTTTCAGGGTGGTACCAGGTTCCTGAAACAAAAGGCTAAGAAAGGAGGAGGGGGGAAAGGTTACTTTAAAATAGAGCTTCTCTGAGTGCTTGGTTGAGCGTCCAAAACTTTATTTCCGCTCAGGTCAGGAACTCCGGGTCTCGGGTTCAGCTCCGCACTGAGCAGGGAGTGAGCGGGAGATTCTTTTCCTCTCCCTCGGCCCCTCTCCGCAGTCACTCTCTAAACAAACAAATAAAATCTTTTTTAAAATATCGAGCTTCGTGAGAGCACTGTTGCGGCTGTTTTGATTTTTGTTCAACTTTATGCTTTTAAGCGGTTTCAGTATTACTTTTTCAAAAACTTTCCCGTCTTATCTCGTCCAATCTTCCTCACATTGACATGAAGCAGATAATTCGGGTCCTGATACATCTAATTTACAGGTAAAATGGGCTCAGGGGGATGAACGCGCGCTAACAGCAGAGACCGGCCCAACAATGCGGATCGTCTCCTAAGTGCCTTCCGAAAGTCAGGTTTAGCAGGTACGACCTGGCGACGGTGCGTGCCACGGATCTATTGCTCCGGAAAACGCCACCCTGACAGGGCAGCTGAGAACAATAGCAATCATTAAAAATTTGCTCACGCCTATCAGTGTTGACGGAGCTCGGGGTTCCTCGTGCAGTTGCGATCAGGCCGTGGCTGGGTCCCTCCTCAAAGCGTTTTCATTCACGGAAGCCGCCCTGGGATGGAAGCAACCAACCAACCGTGGGGCTCCTTGAGCATCTCGCTCCTGGCGCTCTATTCACGTGGTCCCCGCAGGCAGCCTCAGGGCAGCCAGCGCTTTCCCGCCGCGGCTGCACATTGCCGCCGCGGCTGCACATTGCCGAGTTTCCCAAGATAGAATGGCGGAAGCTGTCCTTTTTAATCAACCCCCAGAAGTCAGGCAGCAACCTTCCCACTGCGTTCTAGCCAACAGGCGGTGCAAAG